CTCCTCCGCCCTCCGTTGTTGTTGGAGGGCGACTGCCTCCAACTGCCCAGTAGCGTCCTTCACGAGCCTCTTCCACAGAGGCCGATCTTGACACCGCTGGTACCAGTCATCGGCAAGTCCACTCAGCTCCACGTCCTCCTGTACCACATCACTCCATCTCTTCTCTAGCCCGTGCCGCGCCCGCTTAGCCCCCTCAATCCGGCCGAACAAAAGTTGTTTCGGCATGTGGTGGCTGGGCATGCGGGCTACATGACCCAGCCATCGCAGCCTTCCCCGCCGGAGGAGCTCACCGATGGGACCTTGTCCAGATCTTTCAAGGATTTGTGAGCTCCTCACACAATCCAGTCTGGTTAAACCCAGGATGGATCGTAGGCAGGCCAGCCTAAATGTTTCTAACCGGCGAAGATGTTCCATTAGGGGGGTCCACGTTTCGCAAGCGTAGAGAAGGGAGGGAATGACCGTGGCTGAGCAGACCTGAAGCTTAGTGCGGAGCGACAGACCAGGTAGCTTCCACACAGCGTTACGCAACCGATGAAAAGATATTGCCGCTCGACTGATTCGGAGTGAGACCTCTGCTGTTAAACTGGAGCCAGTCATGAGCACACTGCCCATGTATGGGAAACTCTCCACTCTCTCCACAACTGCTCCATCACCGATTGGGAGTTGTGGGGGTGGAGTGTCCGATGGTACAAAATACCCAGGCAGGTGCTTAGTTTTGGTGGGGCTGATGGTAAGGCCCCACCTCTTAGTGGCACGCTCCAGTCTCAGCAGCAGCGTCTCCAACTCCTCCTCTAAATGAGCGGCTATTACCAAATCATCGGCATACATAACGCACCACACCCGGGCATCGATCAGCCTCCCATTATATCTTTACCATATGGAGATTCCCCCAGTACAGTTATTGAAGGCTTCACGAACTACGTGGTCAAAATAGATGTTAAATAATGTGGGATCCAGAGGACATCCCTGTCGCACCCCAAGGTGTACAAAGTATAGCTCTGACTCCCGGCCACGAAGTTTTACCCAGGCCCGCTCACCATCATGAAGGTCCTTAATGATCGTGAGCAGAGGGTCAGGGACTTCAAAAGCACGAAGAACAACCCAGAGCCCAGGCCTACTGATGGTATCATAGGCCTTGACCAGGTCAATAAAGTAGAGATGTGGGTCTTGCTGGAATTCCCTACATCTCTGCTGTAGCAGACGGACAGAAAATATGGCATCTGTGCAGGACCGCCCTTTCCTGAAACCGTATTGTGGCGCCGCAAGCCTCTCCTCAGCGTGCCTGGCAAGGCAATGTTGAATAATCCTTGCCAGGACCTTTCCCGGCACACTGCGGAGTGAGATGCCCCTGTAGTTGTTACAGTCTTTGCGGTCGCCCTTCTTAAAGAGGGGGACCACCAGGGCATCCTTCCAATCCTGCGGACCTGTCCAGTGGTCCAGACTGTTGTTATGATGTCATATAGGGCAGTCTGTGCACAAACGCCACCCTCTCTCAGCATTTCGCTTGGGAGATCATCTCTGCCCGCTGCCTTTCCTTGTCTCAGACTCCGGATCGCCTTCAGTACTTCCTCAACAGATGGCACCTCAGCCAACCACTCACAGGGTGTGACTTCTTCCAATGTTTGAGGCACCGCAGCCTCAGCAGGGTCATCCCCACTTTGTGCCACGATGTTTTCCTGGCTGAGGGATTTTCCCTCCCCCTGGACCTCACAGAAATGCTCAGCAAATCTGCAAACCTGTTCCTGGGGGTCGGAGATTGGATCACCGTTTTTTCCCCTAATGATGGTAATAGGTGTTGCGCTGCAGGTTACTTTTTTGATGGAGTCTGCCACTGAGGAAGACTCCATCTCCTCAGCAACCCGCGACCACCACCCATTCTTGCAGCGCCTCACGGCTCTCCCATCCTCCGAGCGAAGGCTGCGGTAAGCCTCCTCATTCTCTGACATGGGATTCTGGAGCCGATGACAGTGGGCCTGTCGCTTTTTCTCAACTATCCTGAACACTTCCTCTGTCAGCCAGGGTCTCTGGGGAGGTCTGGACCACGTACCCAAAGCAGCCAATGCAGCTGCATGAGTGACAGTCCTAAACCTCGCCCATTTATCCTCGACATCAGGAGGAGTGGGGGACGATGCCAAACCCAGCCGCAAGCAATGATGAAATTCTCGCTTGCAACTTTCATCAGATAACTGAGACCAGGCCACTTTAGGTTGGAATGGGGTCCTGGGTGTACACCCACCACCCGAGCGGAAGAATGGCAGGCGCATCTTACAGATGACAAGTCGATGGTCAGAGGGCAGATCAGCTCCACGATAGGTCCTGGTGTCAAGGACATGGGCTCGCATCCGCTCGTCCGTCACTATGTAGTCCAGCAGATGTTCTTGCTTGAACCCGGCATGCATCCATGATGTTGTGTGGATGCGCCGATGCCGGAACAGCGTGTTTGTAATTACAAGCCCATGGGCTGCACAAAAATCTAGCAGCCTCCTACCGTTGTTATTGAGCTGATCAGGCCCATGCCCTCCAATCACTCGAGACCAGGTGTCAGCATCATGACCAACTCGGGCATTGAAGTCACCCAACAAGATGACTATCCCGAGGGTCCATTTTAGCCAGCACCTGTGACAGGAGGTCATAGAAGGCATCTGACTCATCGGCTTTGCCTGCATCCCTCCACGGATGTTCGTCTTCGGTGGGGGCATAAGTAACCACGACCACCACTCCTCGCCTCCGGTTGATGGGAAGGCGAGCCCAAAGTAGCCTGGGGTTTACAGCTTCCCACACCTCACCGCCACGCTCCCATGCCCCCTTCATTCTTTTGTTCAAAAGAAGAGCTACACCCTGTTGTTTGGCAGTCTGCTGCCCCGAGTAGAGGACTGTCCACCCCTCATGGTGGCAGGAGCCAGAACCGGTCCACCGGACCTCCTGAATGCCACAGAGATCCAGGCGGTACCGGTCCAGCTCCCGACAGAGGAGTGGCAGCCTCTCCTCCGCAGTGAGCGTTCGAGCATTCCACGTGGCCACACGAAGTGGCTTTTCGTTGTTTCTGGGGGAGTCCCGAGGGTAGCGATTCAATCTCCTGGCTCCACCAATTGGGGTTTGGCCTGGAGAAGTGATAGCCTCCTGTCCCCCCAGGGCCTCCGGCACAAGCTTATTAGTTAGATATTTTACACGTGGTTTAGTGGTACATTTTTGAAGGTGGAGGGGTTACCAGCCCCTCGCACCCGTCCAGAACCCCCGTTTAGCCTCTGTGGTGGTCACAGACGCCATGAGGGTCCGATTGGCTCCTCCCCCCACAGCACTGTCCACGACAGAGTTGCCCGTCCGGCACCACGAGGAGGTAGGGGGTTGTTTTGCCGGACATTAACACAGGCACATTAACACACACACGCACAGGCATATTAACACAAACACATTAACACAGGCGCATTAACACACACACAGGCACATTAACACGGGTGCATTAACACGGGCGCATTAACACGGGCGCATTAACACGGGCGCATTAACACGGGCGCATTAACACGGGCGTACGCGCATGGGTGAGGCCGTGGGTGAGCGCGCCCGTGAGTGCATGCGTGGGGAGCGGTGGCGTGCCTGGTGACCCAAGTTCGATTCGCGCTCACGGTCCACACCAAGTGAACATGATCTGAAACAGTCCTGGGCCTCCCCTTGGTCGACTCAGCCTAAAATGAGTGCCTGATGCGATGTGTAAGCATTGCCACAAAGGCGGTCAGGCGTGGTATTTTGGTGATGTCGAAAACGTGTTTTGGTTTGGCCATGTTTGTTTGTTGCAGTACGGAGTTCGACTGATGGCCTTAATCTAAGTTTTCTTGTGGTTGTTGTTTGACTTGCATCCCACTGGGATTTTTGCAGACAGCGTTGGTGTGTGGTGCTTTTTCAGGAATATTTTGCTATTTTTTCCTGGATTCTCTGTTTGCACAGTCACATAGTCACTTTAAGATGTTTTTTTGTTCATGTTTTTGTTTTTTGTTTGTTGTGGTTGCACCCGATTCAAGAGCCGAATGGCTCACAGGGCTTTACCAAAATAAATGCAACTGAAAAACTGAACTCACCCTCTCGTGTGCCGTGTTAGCCTTCACAGGTGCTCGCTAACAGCACTTGCCCCAAGTCAGTTAAGGCTATACAGGGGATCTTTGCCTTTGAGCTTTTAGGTGCGTGAGTACATTTCTATAGGACACATAGAGGCTCATCAAGACAGACTTGCGTGTGTTGAGTCTGTGGAGTGCGAGATACTGCCCGCCCTCCCGCAATCCTCACGCTTTTTCCCCCTTCCCTCTGGAGGAGGCGCTGATTGGCCGCGTGCGCTTGAGTGTAAGTTCAAGGAGGAGGATGCTGATGTGGGTTGCTAAGCGACCAAGAGGGGGGGAGGGGCTGTGGGGTGCGGGGGCGGGTTGCTGGGTGACGTGTGCGGCGGGGTGAGTGGGGCTCGGGTGAGTTGCCGGACGCACTCAGCCGAGGCTACAGATGCCGAGCGCGGCCGCTAGACGGCACAATTCGCTCGCGAGATGACAACTACATAGCTACACAGACACGTGGATTTACACACACACACGTGGATTTACACACACACACGTGGATTTACACACACACACGTGGATTTACACACACACGTGGATTTACACAGACTCGCAAGCAACACAGACACGGAGATGCACAAAGACAGCCGCACGTAAAATTTACCCATGTAGGCAGTCTCACACAAACACATAACCATAGACACGCAGAAACACACGTGCACAAAAATACAAGCACAGACACATTCACACATCACAGAAATTCACTTCCACACTCAACACGATCCCTGGCTATGCGCCTCTCCCACGCGGCCTCTTCCTCGCGGCTTCGCGCTCCCTTCCACCCCTCATCCTCTCCCTCTTTTCATCCCAATGCCTCCTGCACCTCCCCTCTCTCAGTCTCTGCCTCCCTCGCTCCCTCGCACCTCCTTCTTTCATCCCTCCCGCGCCGCCGCCGCCGCCTCCTCCTCACCCTCCCCCATTCTCCTCCTACCTCTCTCCTCACCCTCCCCGTGTCCCCTCCCTCGCCTCCTCCTCGCGTCGCCATAGAGAAGATTGCGGCTGCACTCAGCTGCACCGGCTGCTCCTCCGCTCCGGATCTTTCACCCGACCATCGGCAACTGCGAAAGAGAGAGCGAGCGCGAGAGACAGAGAGAGGGGGAGAGAGTAATAGAGAGAGAGAGACGCACACACACACACATACAGACATAGAGAGCCGAATGAGGAGCCGAGAGAGAGCGCGGCCACTGAGGATCTGAGAAGAGAGAGCTCTTAGCGAGAGAGGGAGAGACACGGAGACGAAGGAGGAGTCGAGTGAGCGAGAGAGAGAGGGAGCGGCGACTACTGCGAAGCTTTGGGAGGAGAGCGCTCGGGAGAGTGACGGAGAGATTCAGAGGGAGTGCCAGCGACGGAGAGATTCAAAGGGAGAGAGCGCGCAAGGAGACCCGGACCCGGAGCGCAACTGTCGAAGCGACATGGGAGTATGCCGCGCGTCGCGCCGCTTTGAGACGCACCTGCACGGCAACTAGGAGCGAGGCGCAGGGCAACCCAGCGAGGCGGCGCGCGTCTTGTCCGCCATGCTACTACCTGCCGAGCCGTGCCAAGGTACGTGGCAGGTGGCGTCGGCGGTGGTGAAGATGGGGCGGGAGAAGGGGTGGGTCGAGATGGGAGATGGTGGTGCGGGTTGTAAGATTGAGATGTGGACGGGAAGGTGGTAGATGGGAGATGGGCGGTGGGAGATAGATAGACTCGAGGACATTAGCAGCAGCACTAGCACCGTGATCGCGATGATCATCAGGAGTAGCAACCGCATCATCCAAAGACAAAGATTCCCCATAAAGCATCAACAGACCTATGAAGGCCGACACGGCAGGTCACTCCACCACCACCACACACATCAGCATAGCCAACAGTAACTTCATCATCGTACATCATCATCACCAACATTACCATCATCATCACCAACATTACCATCATCATCACCAACATTACCGTCATCATCACCAACATTACCGTCATCATCACCAACATTACCATCATCATCACCAATGTTACCGGCATCATCACCAACATTACCATCATCCACATCAACATTACCATCATCATGAGCCACCCACAACTACATACATAATCACCATCACCATTATCATCTTCATAATCGCATCACCCCCCTGTGCGCTAATGAGTCGTAATTAGGCGCATTCGCCACATCGTAGGGCGCCCGGTCTGGGTGATTAGTATGCGCGTGGTGTCGAGGCGACTCGTAGGGACTCACGTGGACTCGGAAGGACTCACGTGGACTCAAAGGGACTCTGATGTTAGAGGCGGGAGTAGGATGGGCAGGGTGGCGTGGAGCGAAAATTACCTTCCCATTCATCCCCTGGCATTGCAGCAGTTGCAGCAGCAGTTGCAGCAGCAGTTGCAGCAGCAGTTGCAGCAGCAGTTGCAGCAGCAGTTGCAGCAGCAGTTGCAGCAGTCCCAATTGCAGTTGTCACAGCAGCAGCAATGGTAGAATAAGCAACAGCAGTCTCATAGTAGCAGCAAGTGTAACTGTAACAAGATAATCAATAGCAGAAGCGATAGTAGCAGGCGCAGCAGCGTCGTGATTATCGGTAGCAGACGCATCAGGAGGCTAACAATAGCATCAGCAGTAGTAGCAGCAGCAAGCGCATTGTAGCAGTTGCAGCAATATCACCAAGCGCGTCATAATCATCATTATAGGATAATAATAATAGCAGCAACAGCGTCATAATCATCATTATGAGCAGCAACAGCATGAGCAGAAAGCCGTAGCAACAGCAGCAAGCAACACCGTCATCAACAGCAGCAGCAACAGTCGCAGTACTAGCAACAGTAAACTACATATTACTCAGTAACACTGTCCTAAAAATAAACTATTGGCGACGTTTCGAGCAATAGCCCTTCTGCAGAGCGCATAACTAGGGCAGTGACGAATGTGTTTAGTTTTTTGTTATCTGTGCTAGTACACTATTGCCAACGATTGCGAAGCCTTAATGGCATCAGCAGCAGCAGCAACATTGACAGCAAGTATAGCAATTGCATTCATCAATGTCATCATCAGCAGCAGCATTACCACCATCATCAGCAGCAGCAGCACCATCATCATTAGCAGCATCATCACCACAATAATCATCCCCACAAGCATCATCGCCACTATCATCATCAGCAGCATCATCACCGTCATCAGCAGCGTCACGAGCCGCTGCTCCTCCTCTCTCAGAGCCGTGGAACTCGCGCGGGGGCCTCGCGGACTGCGAGGGCCGCGTCACACGAACCCCCATCACGGGTCACGTTGGGCGGGAGGGTGGCGCAGGGCCTCGTAACAAAAGTAACCTGGGTTCGATTCCCTGACTCGGCCGCCTTTCTGTGTGGAGTTTGTATGCTCGCCCCCTGCTCTGCATGCCTTTCCCCTGGGTTCTCCGGTTTAATCAAATAGCTAAACCCACACACATTGGAACTGGTTTTGGCCAAACAGCTCAATGCTGAAAAAGTACTACAAATTACTCACTTGGGGTTACACGCAGCAGCGTCGCTCCGTTCTGTGAAAACCTGACATGACCCAATGAGGCTTTCCCGGGTAAACAAGCGGGAGAATAATACTACATTCCGTATCACCGACATCAGACACCCTATCCTCTTTAATACCTGCAAGGCTGCGGCTACCATTCACATGCGAGCTTACCCCAGTCCATTTAGTGACGAATTAATTTGTGGACAGTAGGGGCGAGAAGGATGCAGGATATATTAATGTATTCAGGAGAGCCATCACCAAGTCTCAAGACTTTCATTCAGGAGGGTTCTGCTACACTGAGATGTTTGGCCATGAGTACCAGTTTAATTTACGACAGATGATTTGTGATGACGCAGCGTCGACAGTGGTTGGCCTATGGATAGACTCGCCTCGCCTCCCGTCCATAGGAATGTGGAATTTCCACCTCTGGCTCAGAGCTGTAATCAGGCGATGAGCACCAATGCCTCGATATTCCTTTGAGTCGGAAATCACTTTGAATGTTAAGCGATGCTTCAGCACAAAAATAACAAGAACTAAACACAGATTCGCATTATCTGTGTGCTATGAAGAAGGGTCAATGCCCGAAACGTCACGGAGGTGTGACAGTTGTGTTGAGTTTAAATCTCGAGCGTTTGGCTTGGTCTGGGAGATCCGGAGAGAAACCCAGCACTCACAACTCTGCACAAATAGACTCAACCCAGTGACAGATCCAGTTCACTGACTCGTATGTGGACTGGACCTGTTGCTGCTGCACTGCAATCCCCTGGCCATCTCACAACCGCGTGCCTATAACGCTGGGTTATGCACTCGTGTTCTCTCAGCCAAGCGACGAGGGGGAGATTGAGGGGGATGGGGGAGTGAGGGGGTCGTTGAGAGAAGGGGGGGGGGGGGGTACTGAGAAGGTAACCGTTTTCAGAATCAACTTCCATTTTCGAGAGTTAGAAATCAGTCATCGTAATCCAGTGGAGTCTTATCAGTGAATGTGCTCTGATTTAAACTTGCCCAGAAATTTCACCTGCCGCGCCCGGAGATAGAACCTAACTTGGCGAAGTCCACATTGCCGAGTCCAGTGGGATATTGAACCAGCTGACACCCAGCATGCCGGACGAGTGAACCACGACCTCTGTGGCTGATGTCTTCCTCTCGCAGTGCAAGCGCGCTGCTGCGTCTATAGCGCTGGTCATTGCTGTAACCGGTTAGCCGGGGTGCTTCTACCACGCGGTTACCGCCCGGTAGGCAATGTTAGCTCGCCCCTGCCACGGGAGGAGCGCCCTCGCTCTTCTCGCCGCAGCTGCTGCTGCCGCATTCGGCGCGAACAGCAGAGTGTCTCACAACGATACTAACAGGACCGCCACCACGACCACCGTTATCTTCATCATCATCACCACCACCACCATCGTCATCACCACCACCGTCGTCACCATCATCATCGTCACCACCACTATCGTCGTCCTCGTCTGCGAAGCGGACGCTGTGCGCGGCAGGGTTTATGATTCGAGGCGGCGCCTCTGTTCCCAACCTCGCTTCGCGCTCTCAGCCAAATCCACGCTCCCACCCCCCACCAATCAACCAACATCACCCGCGCATCACCCAACATCATCACCCAACATCATCACCACCACCACCCTCACCACCACCCTCACCCTCCTCTGCCTCCGTTTTCCTCCACCAGGCGGGCCGAGCTATGCCAGCGAGCGCGCGTCCCCGGCCCCCGCCTCCTCGTCCGTGCCGGCCGGGCTCCCCCCGCCACGCGCCGGTGCACTGTCGTGGGAGGCGGCCATCCAAGCTGCCCGCCTCGCCCAGGCAATGAGTTCGATACCGGGCACAGGCGCGCAGCACGGAGGCAGAGGGGGAGGAGGACGCGGACTCGGCGCCGGAGCGCACGGGGGGGGCGGCTGCGGCGCCGTCGCCGCCGCGGCGCTGCCGCCGGCCGCCGGGCCGCGCGCTCTGCCCGGGACGCCCCGGGTCGGCGCGGCCGTTGTCGGGGTCGCCGCGGCCGCCGGGGCCCCGGCCGGGGTGCCCGGGGCGGCGGGGCTCGGGGCGCAGAGGAAGCGCCACCAGTACGCGAAGGGGAAGAAGCAGTGCGGATCGACGGGCGCCGTGCGGCCCGCGAGGGCTCTGCTCTGCCTCTCCCTGCAGAATCCGCTGCGCAGAGCCTGCATCGGCATCGTGGAGTGGAAGTATCCTCGTTGCCTGCCCGCACGTCATCGCGGCGGCGGTGATGGTGTTGTGTCACGGACGATGCCATGTGCTGGGTGTTACGTGCTGTGCATCCGCGTCATAGTGCAAGTGTCGATTCGTTAATTGAGGCGGGAGGGGGGTGTGCGATGGGGCGGCCAGAGTGGTGCTGTGTGTTTGGTGGTCGTGCGGCGGTGATGTCGACTGTGATCGAGTGGATTGGTGACGGGCTGGTGTGATGCAGCGCCGTGTGTGTGGGGTGGTCGTGTGATGGATGGTGGTTACGGGTGATGTGATGTGGAGTGACGTATGCTTGCCATGTTCGCCTGGGATGGTGGATGTGGTGGGTGGTGGGTGCTGTGTGGGGCGGTGATGTGATGTTTGGGGTTGTGGATTGGAGTGGTGCGATGTGGAGTGTCATATCACGTGTGGTGCCGTACTTAGTTGTGGTGGTGTGGTGTGTTGATGTAGATGGTGGTGATGTGTGGGCCCTGTGTGGTTGTGACGTGTTGTCATCTGCTATGATAGCGATGTGCGGTATGAGGCTAGATCGTGCGTTGTGTAGATGTGTGGTGATGTGTGGTATTATGTAAGACCTTGTGTTGTGGTGATGCGTGGTATGCAGTGTGTTCTGTGATATGAGAGTGTTGCTGTGCTGGGTTATATGATGCCCACGGGGGGGTATTCATTGCCGTGTGTGTGGCTCTTTGCTGTGTGTGTGGGGGGGGGGGGGGGGTTGTGCCGTGTGTGGGGGGGGGGGGGGGGGTGTGCTGTGTGTGTGTGTGTGTGGGGTTGTGCCGTGTGTGTGTGTGGGGATTGTGCCGTGTGTGTGTGGGGGTTGTGCTGTGTGTGTGTGGGGTTGTGCCGTGTGTGTGTGTGGGGATTGTGCCGTGTGTGTGTGGGGGTTGTGCGCTGTGTGTGTGTGTGGGGGTTGTGCGCTGTGTGTGTAGGGGGTGTGCTGTGTGTGTGTGTGTGGGTTGTGCTGTGTGTGTGTGGGGGGGGGGGTTGTGCTGTGTGTGTGTGTGGGGGTTGCGCTGTGTGTGTGTGGGGGTTGTGCTGTGTGTGTGTGGGTTGTGCTGTGTGTGTGTGGAGGTTGTGTGTGTGTGTGGGGGGGGGGGTTGTGCTGTGTGTGTGTGTGGGGGTTGTGCGCTGTGTGTGTGTGTGGGGGTTGTGCGCTGTGTGTGTGTGGGGGGGTTGTGCGCTGTGTGTGTGTGGGGGGGTTGTGTGTGGGGGGGTTGTGCTGTGTGTGTGTGTGGGGGTTGTGCACTGTGTGTGTGTGTGGGTTGTGCTGTGTGTGTGGGGGTTGTGCGCTGTGTGTGTGTGTGTGGGGGTTGTGCGCTGTGTGTGTGTGGGGGGTGTGCTGTGTGTGTGTGGGGGGGTTGTGCTGTGTGTGTGTGTGGGGGTAGTGTGTGTGTGTGTGTGGGGGGGGGTTGTGCTGTGTGTGTGTGTGGGGGTAGTGTGTGTGTGTGTGTGGGGGGGGGTTGTGCTGTGTGTGTGTGTGGGGGGTGTGCTGTGTGTGTGTGGGGGTTGTGCTGTGTGTGTGTGTGGGGGTTGTGCTGTGTGTGTGTGTGGGGGTTGTGCTGTGTGTGTGGGGGTTGTGCTGTGTGTGTGGGGGGTGTGCTATGTGTGTGTGTGTGGGGGTTGTGCCGTGTGTGTGTGTGTGTGGGGGGGGGGGGGGTTGTGCTGTGTGTGTGTGTGTGTGGGGGGGTTGTGCTGTGTGTGTGTGTGGGGGGGTTGTGCTGTGTGTGTGTGTGGGGGTTGTGCTGTGTGTGTGTGGGGGGGTTGTGCTGTGCGTGTGTGGGGGTTGTGCTGTGTGTGTGGGGGGGTTGTGCTGTGTGTGTGGGGGGTTGTGCTGTGTGTGTGGGGGAGCGGTAGTGTAGTGGTTAGCGATCTCCGCTACGAATCCAGCGACCTGACTTCGATTCCCGCTCACGGCCAACACCAGTAACGATAATTATCTGAACCGGTCCTATGCCTCTGCTAGGTCGACTCAGCCTCAAATGAGTACTTGGTGGGGTGTGTAAACATCGAAACTAGGGAGACAAGCGGCCGGGCGAGGTGCCGGCCTTCATAGGTGTTCACTAACGGCACTTGCTCGTACAGCCTGTTCCGGCTATACGGGGGAACTTTGTCTTTGTGTGTGTGGGTCTGTCCCGTATCGTGTGTGTGTGTGTACTGTGCTGTGTGTGTGCGGTATTGGTTGGGTTGTTGATCGGGGTGTGCAAGGGGCTGGTAACCCATCCACTCAGTACGAATTTATACCAGCAACGACACGGCGCAAACACCCAATTAAGTTTAGGTCACTAAATGTTCCCCTCCCTCAGCTCCCCATGAGTGATGGGGCAGTTGTGGAGAGAGTGGAGAAGTTTCCGTACATGGGCAATGTGCTTATGACCAGCTCCGGTTGGGCAGCCGAGGTCTCACTCCGAATCAGTCGAGCGACATTATCTTTTCATCAGCTGCGTAACGCTGTGTGGAAGCTGTCTGGTCTGTCGCTCCGTACAAAGCTCCGGGTCTTCTCGGCCACAATCATACCATCCTTTATGCTTTCGAAACGTGGAGCCCTCTAAAGGAACATCTGCACCGGTTTTAGACATTCAGGCTAGCCTACATATGATGTGGTACAGAAGGATGTGGAGCCGATTGGACTTGCCTATGACAGGTACCAGCAGTGGCATGGTTGACCTCTGTCGAGGATGTTCGAAAAGGACGCTGCTGGGGAGTTGGAGGCAGTCACCCTGCAGCAACAATGCAAGGCAGAGGAGTGACGATCACAACAACGAGCGGAGTGCCAGGCGGCTAAAACGCAGAAAGTTGGCACAATGGAGAGCACAGTTGGTGCATCTGCCAGTCATCTCACTCAGTCAACCTATGACACCTGGGTCTGTTCGATGACCTCCTGCCAGTAAGCGTTCGACACTTCACGTGGCCTCCAAGTGTTGGTGTTGTTGGCTCGGTGGTTGGGTAGTGTATGCATAGGCTGGTTCTGTGGTTGTTGTTTGTGTGGTTAATGTCTGTGAGTGATTCGGATGAGTCTGTGGTTTAGTGGTGTGTGTGGTATCAAATCTTAAAGCCATTCTCTCGGGAACAAATACTAGTTGATGTGTACACACACATACCGTCATATATAGACAGTCATATGCACACACACGCGCAATTATATGCACACACACACAAGGTCATATGTACACACACAATCATATGTACACACAATCATATGTACACGTACACATGTACACACAATCATATGTACACACACAACAACCGCCATTCGCCACTAAGTGCCGGTGACGTCACCACGACGCTCGTGCCAGGCTATGTGCACGTTGAGGCCACATGAAGTGTCGAATGCCCGCTGGCAGGAGGTCACGGGTCGACTGAGACGAGTGGCTGATGCACCACCAGTGCCCCCTACTGTGCCAACCTGCTGTGCTTTAGCCACCTGGCGCTCCGCTCGTTGTGAGCGTCGCTCCTCCGCCCTCCGTTGTTGTTGGAGGGCGACTGCCTCCAACTGCCCAGTAGCGTTCTTTACGAGCCTCCTCCACAGAGGCCGATCTTGACACCGCTGGTACCAGTCATTGGCAAGGCCACTCAGCTCCACAACCTCCTGTACCACATTACTCCATCTCTTCTGTAGCCCATGCCGCGCCCGTTTAGCCCCCTCGATCCGGCCACGTACACACCCACTCATATGTACACACACAATCATGTGTATACACACACGCATGTGTACACACACACACGCATGTGTACACACACACATGTGTACACACACTCCATAGCGCCTCGTGCACATCACGAGGCGCTATGTGCGGGGAGCCGGTCACAGTGGCAAGGGGCGCTTGGCAGAGGGGAGTGGAAGTGAGGGGTCCATTGAGAGGGAGTCCACAGGGGTCCATTGAGAGGGAGTCCACAGGGGTCCGGGAGGGGTGGGGGACCAGAGATAGACAGTGAGAGATGGAGAGAGACGGAGAGAGATGGAGAGTGACAGAGGGAGATGGATATCGGTAATGAACGATTGAGAGAGCCGGACACAGGGAGAATGAGAGAGAGAGACGCATATGGATTTTCTCGTTATTTAAACACAGTTGGTGAGTACAAGCCCAAGGCATCCAGTGGCCAGCAACAAACAGCACTGTCAAAGTTATAACAAAATAAGAGTTAACGTGAGTCTTCAATTGAACAAGCCGGGGGAAAGAGACGATCGGAGGGAATTCCAAAGTCGAGCAGTGCCAGACAATCAGCAGAAAGTGTTGTGACCTGCAGTGTGGTGAGTGGGTGAGGGTGTTGTTGTGACCTGCAGTGTGGTGAGTGGGTGAGTGTGTTGTTGTGACCTGCAGTGTGGTGAGTGGGTGAGTGTGTTGTTGTGACCTGCAGTGTGGTGAGTGGGTGAGTGTGTTGTGACCTGCAGTGTGGTGAGTGGGTGAGGGCGTTGTTGTGACCTGCAGTGTGATGAGTGGGTGAGTGTGTTGTTGTGACCTGCAGTGTGGTGAGTGGATGAGTGTGTTGGTGTGACCTGTAGCGTGGTGAGTGGGTGAGTGTGTTGTTGTGACCTGCAGTGTGGTGAGTGGGTGAGTGTTGTTGTGACCTGCAGTGTGGTGAGTGGGTGAGTGTTGTTGTGACCTGCAGTGTGGTGAGTGGATGAGTGTGTTGTTGTGACCTGCAGTGTGGTGAGTGGGTGAGTGTGTTGTTGTGGATGAGTGTGTTGTTGTGACCTGCAGAGTGGTGAGTAGGTGAGGGTGTTGTTGTGACTTGCAGTGTGATGGTTGAACACAGTGTGGGGAGCCTGATGTGGCTTAGTCCTTAACAATTGGCAGAGACCAAGTCTACAATGAGTGTCTAGTCCTTCAATCACGATCGCTGGCATTGTTCGCTGAGCGGCAGGGTGGAGCAGTGTTAACATTTGTGCCTCACAGGGAGACGGCTTGGGGTTCGAATCCCGATTTTGGCACATTATCTGTGTGGAGTTTGTGGGTTTTCTGGGGTTTTCTGGTTTCCCAATGCTGGACGTCTGCAAGCAGATAAATACATTTGAATTCCACAGATTGCAACATCGCCTCCCACTGCGTCTCGGTGAGGGTTTTTTGGGTTACCAGGCGTAGTGATAGTAGTCTATACACCTGGTAGTTGTGGTGGTGGTGGTTGTGGTGGTTCTTGTGGTGGTGGTGGTTCTTGTGGTGGTGGCTGTGGTGGTGGCTGTTGTGGTGGCAGAGGTAGCCACCCCTTCTGAATGGTTGGCTGAGGTGCCATCTGTGGATGAAGTGCAAGGAGAAGCACCGGGCAGAGACGATCTCCCAAGCGAGATGCTGAGGGAGGAGGGTGGCATCTCTGTGCAGACTGCCCTACATGACATCATCACAAATGTCTGGACCACAGTACTGGTTCCACAGGATTAGAAGGATGTCCTGGTGGTCCCCCTTATAGTTATTACAGACTGTAACAACTACAGGGGCATCCCTCTTTTCAGTGTGCCGGGAAAGGTCCTGGCAAGGATTATTCAACATCACCTTGCCAGGCACGCTGAGGAGACACTTGCTGAGGAGAGGCTTGCGGAGCCCCAACGTGGTTTCAGACCAGGGTGGTCCTGCAAGGGTGTCATTCTCCATCTGCTACAGCAGGCCAATAATACAATCAACAGGCCAGGGCTATGGGCAGTTCTTCGTGCTTTTGGAGTTCCTGACCCTCTGCTCACAATCATTAAGGGCCTTCTTGTTGATAGACATCATCGGGTAAAACTACATGGCCAGGAGTGCAGCAGGGATGTCGTCTAGCTCCCACATTATGTAACATCATCTTTGACCACGTAGTTCGAGACATTTTCCATGGCTGTACCGGTGGAATTTCCATCTGGTTGGGATACAATGGGAGGCTGATCGATGCCCGGGTGCGGTCGAGGGATGGCTTCCTATTGGTCAACCACGTTATGTATGCCGATGATCTGGTGATTGCTTCTCATTCAGAGGAGGAGTTTGAAGCGCTGCTGCTGAAAATGCCACTAAGAGGTGGAGTCTTACCATCAGTGCAACCAAAACTAAGCACCTGTCTGGGTATTTTGTGCTACCACACACTCCACCCCCTCAGTTCCCCATTGGTGATGGAGTGGTTGTGGAGAGAGTGGAGAGTTACCCATACCTGGGCAGTGTGCTTATAACCACCTCCGGTTTGACAGCAGAGGTCTCGCTCCGAACCGTCGGGTAGCATTATCTTTTCATCAGCTGCGCAATGCTGTGTGGAAGCTACCTGGTCTGTCGCTCCTCATAAAGCTTCGGGTCTTCTCGGCCACAGTCATGCCCTCCCTTCTCTATGCTTGTGAAACGTGGACCCCTCTAATGGAACATCTGAGTCAGTTAGAAACATTCAGACTGGCATGCCTACGATCCATCCTGGGTTTAACCAGGTTGCATTGTGTGAGGAGCTCACAAATCCTTGAAAGATCTGGACACATTCCCTTCAGTGAGCTCCTCCGACAGGCAAGGCTGCATTGCCCAGCCACCGCATGCCCAAGCATCTTCTGTTTGGCCGCATAGAGGGCGCTAAATGGGCACGACATGGGCTGGAGAAGAGATGGACTGATGCGGTACGGGATATGTGGGGCTGAGTGGACTTGCCGACGAATGGTACCAGTGGTGTCAACATCGGCCTCGATGGAGGAGGCTCGTGAAGGATGCTACTGGGCAGTTGGAGGCAGTCGCCCTCCAGCAACAACGGAGGGCAGAGGAGCGATGCTCTCAACGAGCAGAGCGTCGGGCGGCAAGTTTGCACAGTAGGGGGTACAGCTGATGCATCTACCGGTCATCTCAGTCAGCCAACCCATGGCACCTGCTGGGTCTGTTCCATGACCTCATGTCAGCGAGCCTTCGACACTTCACGTGGTAGCCTCAAAGTGCACCTTGCCTGGCACAGGGGCCGTCGTGACGTCACCGTCACTTAGTGGGGAATGGCGGGTGTTGGTATTGGTGGTGTTTATGGTGGTGTTTGTGGTGGTGTTTGTGGTGGTAGTTGTTGTGGTGGCGCTAGTTGTTGTGGTGGTGGTACTTAGGGTGGTGGTAGTTGGGGTGGTGGTTGTGGTGGTCATGGTTGTGATCACCAATGTTGCTCATCATGACTGGTAATAGCGATGAGTCGTGGTCACGTGTGGTGGTGGAGGTGGTGGTGTTCGTGTTGGTTGTCAAGAGCCTTGGTTGTGGTCACGGATCGTGATGCTCGTCACCAGCGGTACGAGTCACGAGCCGTTGTGGTTGTTTGACTTCCCTGTCATTCGGTCGCCCACCGAGGGTGGCCCCTCTTGCGAACGCGACTCCGCTACCCTCTCTCTCGAGCTCTCGTGTGACACCGTCTCTGTGCCACCATCTCAGTGCCACCGTCTCCATGCCACCGTCTCCATGCCACCACTTCCGCGTTCCCGGCACAATGACGGGGCCCGGAGCAGTGATTGATCGCGACTGATGATGTCACGATCGGAAATTGTTGGGGCTGCCGGCGATGACGTGCGGATCACACACACACACACGTGGACGCCAATGAAGGCAATGAAGAAATACAGTGACGACTGATGATTATGATCATGGATGAAACCTTCATCCAGTAGTGGATAGATAATGATATAATGATGGCAAGGCTTTCATCTAGCAGTTGACCGACATGGCTTACGATACTGATGATGATGACAATGATGATGCAGAACCTTCATCCAGCAGTGGATAAATAGTGGCTCATAATCATAATGGTGGTGGTTGAATGATGCGATCTTATTTTGATTTATTATAATGATGGACGATAATAGTGATTTAATGATGATCATGATAATGATGATTATTGGTTGATGATTTGTAGTGCATGATCACAGTCGTTAACGGCGAGTGAAGGATGACGATGACGATTGATGGCGGTTGACCAAGTTGGTTTTGGTTGACCGCGGTGACGCTGGCGGTGGCCGAATGGCCGCAGCGAGAGATGACGCCGACCTTCCCGGGCCCTGTGCCCGGGCCGAGTTGAGCTCCCTCGTGTTTTTTTGCTGCTCCGCGTGCCTCTGCTAATTACCACAATTACATCGGCCCGGCTATTTCCGCAGAGCCGTGCGCTGCGATTAAATCGCTTTGAAAGGCGAACTTCGTGCGACTCGGGGCTGTGATGGTGCACAGCTGTCGTGCCGTGTGCATTAACCCTTCGGCTGCTGCCCACGAACCGCCCTCCAACTCAGCGGGCAGAGTTCATGGTGGCCGGGCGCTGGTAGCTACGCTGCACGCGTCTTCTTGACGTCGTTATTATTATAGTCATGCTCGATCACCAAGGGAAGCCTCCAGACTCGTTTTCAGGAAGGTCTTGCCAAGTCGGTGCTATCGCTAAGTGCAATACACTTGAGCAATTTGCAGGTCATCATCTCTCAGCATTGGGATGTTTGGCCAATGCCAATTCGATTGTTTTCGCTGTAGGAGGAAACAGCAGAACCCGGAGAAACCCCATGCAGAACAAGGGGAGAATACACAGATGGCACAAAGGGACTTGAGTCTGGAATCCAACCAAGGATCTTCTTGTTGCGGAGCAACTGTGTTTACAAAATGAGTCTACTGCTGGATGACTCCCTTGCCACTTCATGCCGGTCATGTGGGAGTTGGACCGTTTTGGTTCAGTTGGTTGATTAGTTGGTTGATCCGTCGTCGGGTTGCTTGCGATGGTTTAGATTTTTAAACTTTCTCCGATCGACGGTCACGACTCCTTGACCCGTGGCCTCGCAGACCGTTTGACATCCTCATCCTCCTCACCATCTTCGCCAACTGCCTCGCCCTCGCCGTCTATGTGCCCTTCCCCGAGGACGACTCCAACCGCAGCAACGCCAACCTGGTACGGCGAGGACTACCAACACCACCACCAACACCGCGATCAACACCAACACGATCACCACCTACGCAATCACCACAACAAGCACCACGACCATCAACACGATCACTGCCAACACCATCACCACCACGATCACCACCACGATCACCACCACGACATCTGCAATTGTGATGATGACAACGATTGTGATGGCGATTGTGGTGATGATGATGACGATTGTGATGGCGATTGCTGACATTCCCATGTGGTAGGTGTAGACCTTGATGCCTGTCGTGATGGCGTTGTATATTTTGGTTATTCAGATGGTAATGATGATGGTGAGTGATGACTGAACAGGCCGTGGTGATGGAGATGCTGCCCACAGCATGGCTGTCTCGTCGTTGGCTGTCTCGTCGCTGCCGCGTGCTGTCCGCACGTTGCCCGTGCTAGGGAATCTCTTCCTTGCAGAGCAAGCCCAGGCCGCTTGTCGCTGTGAGGAGCGAGCGCTTCGCTCTACGCTGCCACGCGACGCGCGTCCTCGTTTGTTTTGTGCTCCCCCGGAGCGGTGACGCGCGACAGTGCCTCTGCAGTAAAACACGCGGGGCTGAGGGGTTCCACGGATGCCTGTGCGTTGAACTTCTTTCGCACCGTACGTAGCCAACCATGTGCGTCTGTGTGCGTGTCTGCGTGCGTGTGTGTTTGTTTGTATATGAGGAGCGGTGTGAGTACGTATTGCGATGTGTACGCATTGCCACTAGGGAAACAAAAGGGAATGTGCGCTGGCCACCCACCCTCTCGTGTACCGTTCTAGCCTTCATGAGCGCTCCTGCTCGCTAACACCACTTTCGCCAAACGTCTGCTAAGCCGATCCAGGGCGTCTTTGCCGAGTGATAAATCAACCTGAAGCTAACAGAACACCACCGCCGCTTTTCAAAGAACGGCCCTGGAAGCTCGCACCATAAAACTACTTCTGACATGAATGCAGTTGTATTCTTATCTCGCATACAGTACATAGACATCACTTTGACGTGTCCTTCTTTGTGAGGCTGTGGGTCTCTATGTGAATCAGTGGGTCTCTATGTAAGTCACCGGTAACTAACATGAGACCATCGACTCACTGTAGCGGCCCGGCTCGGCGTGTTGGAGCCGCAAGGCCTCCTCGCGTTACGTGTTGTATTTTTCATTTCCATGAATTCAGCCGAGGTTCAAATCGCAACCTCCCCCCCTCCGCTATTTGTGTGGGAGCCCTCGCTCTAAACATAGTGCGAGCGTGAAGCAACGTGACGCGCAGACCGATAGCTCATCCCAACCCCCCTCCCAGCAGTTCAGTTCAGATTATTCTGGTATAGCCCTGTGAGCCATTTGGCTCTTGAATCGGGTGCAACCACAACAAACAAAAAAACACGAACAAGAAAAACATTTTAAAGTGACTATGTGACTGTGCAAACAGAAAATCCATGGAAAAAAACAGCAAAAATATTCCTGAAAAAAGCACCGTACACCAACGCTGTGTGCAAAAAATCCCAGTGGGATGCAAATTAAACAACAACAACAACAACCACAAAAACTTAGATTAAGGCCATCAGTCTAACTCCGTACTACAACAAAACAAACATGTCCAAACCAAAAAGCTTTTCCAAATCACCAAAAAATAAAGCCATAATTGCAATGTAACGGTGATTATAGGGACTATGACGGAATTTTTACAATAAACTACGTAAAAAACATGTAACACCAAATCCCAGAGCCATAGCTGGCTGCATGAGTTACTCCACAACAACAAAAGCATCGGTCGGAGTATCAAATTTTTTAATGCACCTTTAAGATCAGCACGCTAAATCAAAATACAGATAATACTTTGCAGCGTCATCCGGAGCGAAACATTTTATTTTATTTTATGCCAATGAATAGCAGTGGCAGCTAGGGGTGTACAACTTCTCTAGATCAGTTTTGAGAGAAGATGCCATTGGTAGCGATTCAAGTTGCAGTTTATTGGCAATAGCATTCCAGACTGGGGGCATCAATAGCAAAGGCCCTTCCTCCAGTTTTTGTAATAACAGCGTAATTATGATCATGATAATAGCAATGCAATCTTGTAACTCACGACCCGTATACAGGAGGGGGCCCTGCATTAGGATATTGGACAATCGCTGTTGAAAGGAGAGGTGTCTGGATTCGTGTTCGGGAACCTGAGAACTTGGGGGGAACTTTCCGAGAGGTTTACAACAGCGGCTCTTGTCCAACTTTTACCTTTTGTGATTGTGGTGACTCAGGGAGATCCCTCTTGCAAACGAAAATATTGTAATCTGCTCAATCTGAATTATTCGTTAAATACTTCTCTACGTGGTCCACCAACCCTCGCCTCCAGTGCATTGGATGGCAGACGGCGCAGACTCCTTCCAGCGCTCGCATTTTATGAAAGGGATTTCACGAAATCTCTCTCTCCCCCCTCCTCCCCCTCCTCCCTCCCTCTCTTCCCTCCCTCTCTTCCCCTCCTCCCTCCCTCTCTTACCCCTCCTCCCTCCCTCAAATTGTTCCCACAAGTGCAGCGAGGATGGCGAGCCAGATATGGCTTTTTTTCTGCATAGTGGGAGGGTGAGTGGGTGGGGAGCGGTAGGGTGAGTGGGTGGGGAGCGGTAGGGTGAGTGGGTGGGGAGCGGTAGGGTGAGTGGGTGGGGAGCGGTAGGGTGAGTGGGTGGGGAGCGGTAGGGTGAGTGGGTGGGGAGCGGTAGGGTGAGTGGGTGGGGAGCGGTAGGGTGAGTGGGTGGGGAGCGGTAGGGTGAGTGGGTGGGGAGCGGTAGGGTGAGTGGGTGGGGAGCGGTAGGGTGAGTGGGTGGGGAGCGGTAGGGTGAGTGGGTGGGGAGCGGTAGGGTGAGTGGGTGGGGAGCGGTAGGGTGAGTGGGTGGGGAGCGGTAGGGTGAGTGGGTGGGGAGCGGTAGGGTGAGTGGGTGGGGAGCGGTAGGGTGAGTGGGTGGGGAGCGGTAGGGTGAGTGGGTGGGGAGCGGTAGGGTGAGTGGGTGGGGAGCGGTAGGGTGAGTGGGTGGGGAGCGGTAGGGTGAGTGGGTGGGGAGCGGTAGGGTGAGTGGGTGGGGAGCGGTAGGGTGAGTGGGTGGGGAGCGGTAGGGTGAGTGGGTGGGGAGCGGTAGGGTGAGTGGGTGGGGAGCGGTAGGGTGAGTGGGTGGGGAGCGGTAGGGTGAGTGGGTGGGGAGCGGTAGGGTGAGTGGGTGGGGAGCGGTAGGGTGAGTGGGTGGGGAGCGGTAGGGTGAGTGGGTGGGGAGCGGTAGGGTGAGTGGGTGGGGAGCGGTAGGGTGAGTGGGTGGGGAGCGGTAGGGTGAGTGGGTGGGGAGCGGTAGGGTGAGTGGGTGGGGAGCGGTAGGGTGAGTGGGTGGGGAGCGGTAGGGTGAGTGGGTGGGGAGCGGTAGGGTGAGTGGTTAGCGTGCTGCGCTATGAACCCGGAAACCAATACCCGTCCACGGCCAAAACCAGTGAGGATTAGCTGAACCGGTCCCAGGCCTCCCCTAGGTCGACTCAGCTTCAAATGAGTACCTCGTGTAGCGGTGTGTAAACATCGTCACTTGAGAGACAAAGGCGGCCGGGCTTGTGGGTGGCCATCCCCCCTCTCGAGTGCCGTGCCTACCTTCGTAGGTGCTACTCGCTAACAGCACTTGCCCCACGAGTCTGTCAAGGCTATACGGGAGTCTTTTGGCTGGGTGGGGATGAGAGGGGGTGGAGGAGAAGTGCCGTGGCGGGGGTGCCAGCGCGAACATTAATTAATTATTTACTCTGTATCTGCGTTGTGTTTTTGTCGCTCTCGACTGTTCGCCGCTCGCATCAAAGTTGCGGCGGCGGCAGCAGCCGCGAGAGGTGCGCGGCGCCTCTCAGGGCCCCCGACGCCGCGGGGCCCGGGCCTCCCGCGGGGTTTGACTCCGCTTTGTGTGTGGGCGATGGCGCTGATTATTCTGGTCGGGCCGCCTAATCATCTAACCACGTTTGTGTCGTGGAGCCCTTCCACCAACCCGACGCAACTAAACGCATGAAATGGTCGCGCGTGTGCGCAAAGGGTGCAGCGACGGCACCGAGTGCGATCCTTGCCACCGGGCCTCGCTCGCGCAAGGCTCGTGCGTGACCAGAGCTCGCGGTACCCCGCGTGGACACTCGACGTGTTGGGCTGTTTGGCTGCTTGGCTGCGTGTCGGGTGGTGGAGGGTTCTTTTTGACGTACAATTGATCAGATCGTTACGGAGCCTTACTCCAAAATCAGCTACGACACGAGACATTCGCCCTGCAAACGATGCGTTCTCCCCGTGCATCGAGATATCGTTCAGATCACCGTGTCTCTCTCTCTCTGGGGTGATAAAATACGTACCACTTTGATGAGGTTTGTTCCGTGACGGGTATGGTGCCTGGAGTAAGACTGTGGAATTTTCACTCCTGGCTGAGAAGGGCCACCAGTCGGAGCTCGAAATGCGAATGGAGCGACGCGTGGAACATAACTCGTCATCATTGCCTGGCCACGTCGCACACGGGTTAATGGGTCACCGAGAGATGCATGAAGCTCACAAACCCGCTGGGATGTGGGGTGGCAGTACAGCAAGGGCATTCGTGAACCTGTCTGTGTGGACCTGCGGGTGTTGTTCCCCGGCATGTGCGGTGGACGTTCCCTCCATAGCTAAGAGGCACACTCTCAGTGTAACCGGTATTGGGACAAACGTTCCAATGCTGCAAAATAACCTGCAAATCACTCAATTGGGATCACACACACAGCAGCAGCAGCAACATCGCCCCCCTAGTGTAAACACTTGGCAGGACCCTCCTGAAAAGGAGTCTTGAGACTCAATGAGGGTTTCCTGGGTAAACAGGCTTAATGATAATATTACTCGAGCACGACTGCATTCACCACAGCGCTGTCCCATCCCCCACTGTAAATGCAGCAGAGCGTGAGTCAGGCTTTGCCTGTGGGAGATGGCGAGAATGTCTGCTCGGGTTTATCCCCAAACTTGGTTCGGTCGACTCGAGAGCTTCCCC